TCGGGGTTTTTGGCGCTGTGGATGGCTCAGAATTTGCTTCAACATCATGGCTAATCCTCGCCAAAGGGGCTCAGATGTTAGGATGACGGCGAAACATTGCATATAGGCGTTGGGAGTTTTGAAGTGAGATAGCAATGTTCGTATGTCTAGACACGTCCTGAATAAATGCCAAAATAATTGCTGCCGTTTGCGGTAAGTGTCTGTAATTACTAAGCAGTCCGCCAAGGGGGGAGGACGTCCCGCGCGCCATTTCATCCCATCTCCTGTGATAGCGCGCGAAATGCAAACCTCCAGCCTGATCTTTGGCCCTAGGCATGTGAACGCGTAATCACTCGGCTGAAAAGAACAGACGAAGATCGCGTGCCAACAAACTGCTGACCAAGATACCCACTTTGTGCAACTGTGCCAACGACGGAAGTTGCGAATGGCTTCTAGGCAACCAGGGGCCCACACGGCCACTTCCGTCACGGTTTCCACTGATCGGATGGTCGCTTCTTCTCGTGTATAAAATATTACTTCTCCGCCCTCCAAGGCCCTTCCGATATTTCTTCCTTCATTACTTTCCATTCCTTGGCCAATCTTTTTCTCACACTCCCAGCTTCAATAGTTGCCGGGCCTTCGTTCATTAACCCATCGTCCTCTTTCGTCCTCCTCACAAGTTACATATACGAGTGTCTGCCTTGACTAAAATACTCAATTTGACCACGCGGTCGCTCGCAATATCCATCCTTTGCAGCCGACCGGACACTCGACAACCCCTCCTCCAAGCCTGAGAGCACCATATCCATCGCCATCGCCATCACCGTCGGATTTGCGCCTAATCTCCCAACCAGAGCCCAGAATGACTGACCTAGATCTCCCCATCTTCGAAAACCCGACAGCACGTCGTGGTTCTCGGAATCCCCAGCCTCCGACCCAGGTATGCCACTAGTGCGGGCTCTCGAGCGCTCACAGTCACCCGGCCACATCCACGCTGCCCACGGCCCACGGACCTTCCACTCTCCATGGACCCTCCACCGTTCTCGAACGGCCCAGCCGTCTCGCGGCCTCAATCGTCCCCGCGGTCTCTCCTTCCCACAAACTCTCCAGTCGCCCGACAACACGGTCGAGGGTTTCTCATTCCCACAAGGCGCTCCAGTCACCCGATAACACGGTCGGCGGCGTTTCCTTCCTTAGTACCGACTCCCCAGTCTCCGTCCTTTCAATCAATCGGTCTCTCCTTCCCACCGACTCACCAGTCTCCCTCTTTTCAATCAACCGGTCTCTTCTTCCCACCGACCCACCAGTCTCCGTCCTTTCAATCAACCGGTCTCTCCTCCCCGCTGACTCTCCAGTCGCCCGACACCACGGTCGACGACCAACGGTCAACCGAGGAGACTCTCCGTCAACGGGGAGCTGGTCTCCGTCAGCGGTTCACCGCGTTCAAGAGACACATCTTGGACGAAGTCGAGGACGAGCTGGCGAGCTACGCAGAGAGGTTGGATGATCTGACCATGGGGGACCTCGCTCGGGAGATTGCCCACGATCTCCTCCGTCGATATCCCAAGGACATCAACGTCTACGGTCGAACGCCTGCACCGCACACAAGACCAACAACGGAGAGCCCTGTTGTCACGGCCGCACGAGCAACCAACCCTCTGTCTAGCTGGCGCGCAAGCACGAAGGAGCGTCCCATCGGTACAGTCAACAATCCTCTGTCCAACTGGCACGCAAGCATGAAGCAGCCTCCCGTCACCACAGTCGACGACCGTTCCGTTGCCACGGTCGCACGACCGGGCGACGAAGACTCAGACCTGAAAATCCTACCAAGAGACCCAGAACCAACCCCCGCACGTCCGAAGACCGTGGTATCGAGGGCACCCTGGAATAAGAACACAGGGGTTGCCAATTCGCTCACCGCTGAAGCTCGCGTAAGTCTGCCATTCCACCAGCCTGCAACCGCTGCAATCCGGCTTCCCTCCGCAAACTACGCTAGGACAACAGCTAACTATGCGCAGAGCGACACGAGACGGCACCGCGGCCCCTTCCCCCATAGGGTAATTAGGCTCCCGACAGCGGCTGAAGAGCCAGAGGCAATAAGACTGGTCAGTAGCATCTCGACATCCCCCATTCCACAGGCCCATGGTTCTTCATCGACGGTTTGCTGTTTATGGGCTGTGAGTTGTTGCTAACATTTAATTGCATATTCCCGGCAGACCCAGAAAGGATCAATACATTACACCAGCCTCGAGCTTGATTACATCTTCAGGCGCCCCAATGTCGGGCCCGGATGGTTCATCTTGCGGTGCGACGAATTCCGGTTCATGAATCCTGGCTATCCTTACTGGGTCCACCACTTTTACCGTGATCCGTTCGATGTAGGGCCGAAAAGGATGAGTTGGGCCACCCGCCACTTCATTGGCAGGGTGGCATGCCATGGAGGAAAGCCCGTACAAAGGATGACAAATGACCAGATGGTGCAGGTCTTCGGCTATGAAGGTGTGTTTTTTTTCGCTCTCTCATGATCTCGCCCTCCCCTCTCTGTGCCATCCCCGCATCTTTTTTTCTTTTTCTTTCCTTTTCGTTCCTAACCGGCTGTCTCTCTCTCAGTGACAGGCCAAGGCTTAGCCGGGCAATGGGTCAATGAGCACAACCGACTCACGTAGCGCAGAAAGATTTGGGACGCCAGAGATTGGAGAGAGCAACTAGCCAAGATTAACGGCGATCAGTCTCGGCTCCCCGCTGCCCGGCCACAAGGATCTCCAACAACCCCCCCGCCAATAGCCAAGCCATCGAAGCGGAAAGGAATTACCATCAAAGACAGCGGTAGCGCATCAGATGACGCGGAAAGCCCGGCAAAGAACGCCGTCAAGAGGAAGGTCAAGGCGAACGCTTGGCTCCCCACGACCCGGCCACCAGCAGGACTAGGAATTGGCCCGCCAACAACCAAAGCATCGACGCGAAAAAAAGAGCTTCCTCACCGACGACAACAGCGAGTCGGACGACTCAGAGGATCTCGCAGAACATATCGTCAAGAGGGAGGGCGAGGCGAACGCTCGATTCCCCGAGGCGCGGTCGCAGGCAGAACCATCAATAGCCCCGCCAAAGGCCAAGCCATCAAGGCGAAAAACGAGCTTCCGCGTTGAGGGGAACAGCGCGTCGGACGACTCAGAAGGGCTCGCAGAAAACATCGTCAAGAGGGAGGACAAGGCAAACGTCAAGGAAGACGAGAAGGCTGTCGAAAAAAGTCCCATGACATCGCTTCGTCCACGAAGTCAGCCGATCTTTTTCCAGCCTGGCGACGTCGAGGTTTCACATGATGCCGAAAGACGACAAGCACAGTATAGCTTTGTTGCCATTTCGCTTAGGTCAACTCGTTCGGTTTCGCCCGTCCCGTCTGTTCTCCCTTGCAACTTTGAGCTTTTCGCAAATGCCAGTTCATGGTCGTCCAGACTGGATCTCGGTTGGCACCTGGACGATGTCGGAAGGTGGTGTCGCTCTGGACGAGTCGAGACAAGCCATGGACAAGTCAAACAAGCCGAGGACGAGTTGCGACAAACCAGCCGCGACGGCCACGCGCCGTTCCCAACAACGATTAAATATATTTAGAAGCACGGTTTGATAGATCGTGCCGAGCAGAAAGAAGAAACGGCTTCGGAAGCATCCTGCACATGCAGCGGAGGACATTTCCCGGCCCTGTCAATACACAGGGACCTTCCTAAGAGCCCTACAACAATCTTACAGACCGTCGAAAAGACTCGAAGCGCCTGGACAAGGACCTTCCAAGAAGCCCTACGACGACCCCGGAGGATAACCCGCCCTACCGCACCACCCGTCCATCTCGCCGGAAGCGACGACGACGACGAAGAAAGAAGGGGCGAACCCTCGACTGCGCCCGCGACGGCAATAGCGACGACGACGAAGAAAGAGGGGGCAAACCCTCGACTGCACCCGCGGCTGACCCCAGGACATAACACACGATGAGAAGAGCGGAATCAAGATTTCCATACCATTTCGGTCCAAGAACATCCGAGACGGCTTGCATTTCCCGACCATCTCGCCTACGCGACGCGAGGAAGGTTATCACTGCGCGGTTAATTAGACACCGATGGTCCCCGGCAAGATGAGCTGCGACGGTTCCATGATTAACATAGATATTATAATGAATCAGTTGCTCTTTGTTCCCAGATTTCAGTGTTTTTTCTCAGTGCAAATTTTTTCCCCCCAAGTTTTCCAAGGGCCCTAGGGCAACAAAGAAGGCCCTTACCAGAACCTAGGACGAAAAAATCCCGTTTTTCATCAGTACAGAAAACGTGCTGGGAGAAGTAAAAATGCTGACAACCCACGGGTTACAAAGTAAGTTGGCAATCTCAAGTTTGGCGGCTGTCATCACTGTTTCCATGTGATGCTAACATACAGCAAACGGGGTTTCCCTTCAGTATAGGAAGCAATGAGGGACGTAGATCAATCTACCGAACCCAGCACCAAAAAATAAAGTGAGTTGCAAGCCCTTCTCCGCTCGGTTCTCGCTTACAGTATGGGTCATGCGCGTCTTGTAGGGCACATAGGAACTGCCAACGACGCAGGCGACAGACTTCGGGGCCCCCCGGACGGCAGACGATGGCAAAACAAGACACAAAGTTGGCATCGAATCCATGATGAAGAAAAAAGAATAAGCAAGTCACCTTCCGATTCAAGCACGGGAAACTCCCTGCCGCTGCAAAGGCAAGTCTAACAAAGCATTCACACGCATCACAGAGTCGCAGTCGTGAACATCGCACGGGCTTCTGAGGTGACGTGCAAAAAGAGTTTTTATCGATAAGAATGCTGACTCAGCACCATTTTCCTTGTTGTTTTTCCTTTTTCCACGACTCGACTCATTCCCGCATCCACATGAGTGGACGCCCCAAAACCGTCTCCAGCACTAGGATATCCCACGAAGCAAAAAACCGATGCCCGCCCGAAACCATAAGCAGTTGGAGCGGTCGAGCTTATCATCAAACCGATAAGCTTCCCCCCAAGCCCGGCTAGCGCAATGGTAGCGCGCAAGACTTCTACTAATACTTTCAAATGTGTGATGTTCAATCTTGAGGCTGTGGGTTCGAGTCCCACGTCGGGTGCGCGTTAACTTTTTGCCGGGGTCTGTTGGCCTGATATCCTTTGCGTCGACATTGGAAGTGGTTGAGTGCATACTGTTTGTCGTGGGCCTGTCGTCGGGCTCGGTGCAGAGCCCGAGAATGGGACATGGCTCAAGTTTTGATGATATTGCCGAGAACGGCTCTCGTTTTTGACGGCATTGACTGCCTGAGGTATGTCTGCTCCCATCTCTTGAAATGGCCCTTCTGGCATTCATTCGCACGTGAGCTTGACCAGGAACTTGCACGTCTTCGCGGCGAAGGCAGCAAATTTTACTAGCGGTAATGACTCTCGACCCGTTCGCCACCGCGTTGTTTGACCGGTTGCGAGGCGGCAACGGCGGAACGGTTTCCCGACCCGCCCCCAAGCATGGATCTAGCTGTCCGCGGGCGAGCGACATTCGAAGAAGAAGAAGAAGAGTACTCGGTACGCAGCAGGCAGAGATTGCTCTTCAATTCGATTATACTGTTGCTAATCCGCATTCGGGGTGGAATGCATTCGCTATTTTGATCGGGTCAAGAAACCTCCCCACCAGACGGTTTGCCACGGATCCGCGACATTCAGTGTTCGCGTCTGTCGTCCACTGGACCCTGTTGAGTTGTGGGTATTTCGTGCCCTCGCCTGACTCTCGAGATGTGGGGTGCACAGCACGAACATTGTTCGAGCTACATGTAATCGGCGTCATGCTGGCACTGGTACAAAGCTAGGAGCTGCAAGCTCAAGCCGTCAGACCCGAGAACGACGACCAGCCCGGCCGGTGGCTCGCGTTACCACCCTGACAATACCACCTCGGCAACTTCCAAAACGCAAAATAAGTAGACATTTCGGCGAGGTCAGTACAGCTCACCAGGATGGCGAGCATTCACGCTCTTCATTCAAGGTCTGGTCTATCGCCGACATCAATATGCCCGGGAATTGAGGATCACAAGGAACTTGTGTAGCTTCGTGTATCTAACTTGATGTAGAGCAAGAGAGCCAGGGCATCCCACGGTGGGATTCTTTCGAGTCAAAATCATTGCTTTCCGGTCGAATCTCCATGTCCGCTTGTGCTGGGAGAGACCCCAGACGGAGCAAGATGCTTTTCCATATCGGCATTCGGGAAGCTGAACCTTTTTGAGGACCACGCCGGCTCGAGTACATAAACACCAACAACTCTCCCCAATTCCATCGCCACCAGTGCAAAGGGCGTTCGATGTTTGTTTGCCTTCATTCTTTTCCTCGAACCACTGAATACCTGGGAATTACTGTTCATTGCACCCCCGCATCTCTTCAATCCGTCCGCTACGCAGCCGGGTCGACCCTTGTGAGACGAACAACTCGATTCCAGCCGGAACAAGACCGGAAAGAGCAGGTGGGATACCAGACCACATGTCACAATCAGGACTTCACGCGGCACAGACATCAAGGGCATCACCAACGAAGAGAACATGCAGCGGAACTATGGCCTCATTGAAAAGAAAAGAAGAAAAAGAAAAAAGGAAAAAGAAAAGAGAACCCCCCTCCGTCCTCTCCATGCGGGCCCCGCGAAGCGAGGACCCCGATTGCGAACCGAACAAGCTCCCAGACCTTCCAGATGCCCCAACGACAACCGAATTATCACCCCTCCAAGCCACCACCCTGACCTGCCAGAGAACAACGACTCTCCTAGCCTTGAACCACCACCCGACACTGGCTCTTCACTCCCTACGCCTGGGCACCACCGCCGCGACCACGACCACGACCACGACCTCGCCCGCGCCTGCGCCTTTGCCGTGGCTCACCGCTGCTGCTACCAGCTTGAACACCGCGCTAATTTCGCAAAAATTATCAGCCAAATGCACAAAACGACAGCGCGAGACGTCTGCCTGCGACGCGCAAAATGTTGCGTGGATAAATCCGCGCAGCAGCCTCGCGACCGCGTTGGGTGTGTGGGATGCTCGCGCGGGAGTGCGGGGACTCACGTTGGCTTGTTGCTCGGCGATGCGAGCGTGCAGCCGACCGAGCTGCTCTTGCCGGGCGTCAGCCTCGTCCAGGGCCTGGGCCGTGGTCAGCATGTAGGCCGCGATCTCTTCGTCGGTGATGCCTGGGTATGCTGTCTTGAGGATCTCGACGACGAGATCGATGGGGGTTACCCCTTCCATCGAGTCCGTCGCCGGATCCATTGTCGTTGGGTTCGAGTGGTGTGGTGTGGCTGTGTTGTGGGAGAGGAGGAGGGGAGGATGAGGTTAGCGGCCTTCCACGGTCGGGAGGTTACGTGGTGGGTGTTGGTGGCAGCTAGGGCGACCGAGATGGGGCGGGGCTCTCGACGGTGACCTACCTCGCGCTTGTGTGTGGTTGCGGTGGTTCTTGGTGCTTGGTGTTGTGGTCGGGAGCGCGCTCTTGCTCGTTGGTATTGGGGATCGGGAGCGCGCTCTTGCTGCTTGATGTTGGGGATCGTGAGTGCAGTTGAGCCTGTGAGCCCGGTCGTTTGTGGTTGTGTGGGAGAGAGGAAGAAGAGAAGGGGGAGAGGAGAAGAGCGAGGGCCTTAAATATGTCCCGTATCTGTCCCAGCACCGTCGACCCGCTATCAAACGGAATCGTCACAACTTCGCCTATTGTCTGCAAAAGATCGTTTGAGATCCGTTTGCAAAGTTCGGAGGAAATTCATCTCAATCCGACTCCGGATGGCCGACTCCCATGTTGAAGTTATTGAAGCTCTCGCTCAAGAACAGGTGGGCACACCCAGCGTTCGCATTTTCTACCTTTGCAAACAGGTTTATTGATTTTCGTATTGTTGATCTCGAGGATCGTCTGTAGCTATTCAGTTTGAACCACTGTGCGTGCAGTCCTCGGCCTAGCATGCTCATTGCTCACCAATTGCTCCCGTCTGCATTGCTTCGCAGCCTCAATTACAAAATCATGACGAGGAAGGCTTCTTGCTATTCTCGAGGCTGCTGTGTGGGTCGGCATCGACCTTGCTGGGTGTCTCTACACAGCGTCAGTTGGGTGTTCTGCTTTTCTCTTTTCTTTTTCTTTTTCGTAGCAGGGGGGAGCAGGAAGCGGAAACTGCGGCTACATTTTCGCCGCTCCTACTCCCTGTCTGCCAGAGAAGATCAATATTGGTGCCTTCTTGCTGCTACGAACCGTTTGCATATGACGACAACGTAAATTACTAAGAAACCAAGTCCGAATAATGGAAGAAAGGTGTGACTACCTGGTACCTAGGTACCTTCATTGAGGTGGGCTCCTTGGTGCCTCGACTGCCGTGTCGGGCGGGCAGGTAGGGGATTATTCTAGTGCCACAGCGTTTGATCATTTCTCTGTTTTAGGGCCTAACTTACCAGGTAGGCAGGCGCCTGCCCGCCGTGGGCCCCTCGCGTTCGAGGGCTCCTTCCTCCAGTTGCTTCCCTATGTGGGGCTAGTCTGCCCTTCTGCCCTCTTCCACTATTTTCTTTTCTTAAATTTGCCTGCCTTCCCTCTTTTTCTCTCCCTCCTCCTCTTCTTCGCGCTTCACAGCTCAAATCTACAGTTGGGCAACACCACAGCTACCACCACATTTGCATCATCAAGACACCACCGCCGACTCAAGGTAAGTGTCAATCCACATACTCCATCCTGACAACGAACTGCCCTCTTCTCCCTTTCTGCCACGTCATGAGGAGCCGGCGCAGTCCATTCGCAAGAAAACTCAAGCATCGAACTCCTCTCTCCTCACGGCAAGAGTATCCCCTTCTTCTTTTGGCTTCTTTTCACGAATCGCTTTCGACCTCGAAGGCCGGGATGCCCAGAATCTTGAACCAACTCCATGTTCTTCTTCTCTCTGGTCGCCCTCTCCAATCAGCGATCTAACATGTACGTGGATGAGCACAGAATTCGATAGCATGACGGTAATAGCCAAGAACAATACAAAGATCCAAGATCAGCCTCCCATCACTCGTCAAGACGACCTTCGTCGGCTCTCGACGTACTGAGGTGGTGCTTGCTGCTATTATCCAAGTTCAAGGTGAGCCACACCCTTTTCCGGCCCATAAAAGTCAGACACTGACCTCGGACTATCAGATCGTCGGCAGTTTTGGGTGGTTCACACCACCCACACTGCGAAGCGCAACACCGAGGTGGTGCTTGCTGCTCTTAATATTTAAGGTGAGTAACACTCTCTTCCAGGGCATAGAAATCAGACACTGACCTCAGACTGCCAGGTCGTTGGCAGTTTTGGGTGGTTCACACCAACCCACACTGCCAAGCGCAACACCGAGGAAGCACCTCGCGGCCCTTTCACGATGGAAGTCGTCGTCGAGATCCTAAAGACAGCATACCCAGGCATCACCGACGAAGAGATCGCGGCCTATATTCAGGTTCAGACGTCCGGGAGCCGGCGTGCCGAGGAGGCGTGGCACTTGAACTGCTATGCCACGCCTCGCGACGCCACCCAGGCACGACGGGTACTCTTCAAACGGCCCGCGCCATAATAACCGGGGCGCTCCGGCGCCTCGGGTATTGATGGTAAGGGACTGGCAAGGGATTGAACAGTTTGGTGGTGGCGACAAGATGCGCATGCTTGTCAGGCACAAGGAATTGAGGAGGGATGGATGGTGGAGATAAAGGAGGAGAATGATGGTGGGATTGGGGCCAGGATAACAAGAGTTTGACGAGCAGGGAAAGGAGGATATGCATACCTAGGTTGATGCCTGTACATTCTGTTGACACACTGCCGGCATCATGTCACTCATCAGCACTTGCCATAGCTGAAGGGCGATCACAACAGAACTCAATTCCATGCCAGCTTCCTTTCACGGCACCGCCTTTGATATTGATTTAACTTTCCACCGCCCACAGAAAGATCACCCGGTAATCACATACACCTGGTTTCTTCCTGGTAACTAATTGACTTCTTCTTCGTGATATTCACCCTTCATTTCGCTATCGTCTTTGATTTGATCTACCTTTGGTTCCATGATGCTGCCAGCACTGTTCCACGCAAACCCATGTGTTCTCCATCTACATATGAAGTGTTGCCGCTCATCTC